GTTAGTCGTGAAGTCGTGTCCGACCCATCACGACCCCAAGGACAACACTCCTCCAGGCCTTCCTGTCCTCCACCATCCCCTGGAGTCCACTTAAGCTCACATCGACTGCTTTACTGACTCCATCTAGCCACCTCATCCTCTGCCGTCCCATTCTTCTTTTGCCATCTATTGTTCCCAGCATTAGGCTCTTCTCCAGGGAGTCCTTCCTTCTCATTAGGTGACCAAAGTATTTGAGTTTCATCTTCAGTATCTGGCCTTCTAAAGAGCAGTCAGGGTTGATCTCCTCTAGGACTGACCGGTTTGATCGCCTTGCAGTCCAAGGGACTCACAAGAGTCTTCTCCAGCACCACAATTCAAAGGCCTCAGTCCTTTGGCGCTCAGCCTTCCTTATGGTCCAGCTTTCACAGCCATACATTGCAACTGGGAAAACCATAGCCTTGACTATATGCACTTTTGTTGGCAGGGTGATGTCTCTGCTTTTTAGTATGCTGTCTAGATTGGCCATAGCTTTCCTCCCAAAGAGCAAGCGTCTTTTAATTTCTTGGATGCAGTCCCCATCTGAGGTGATCTTGGAGCCCAGGAAAATAAAATCTGTCACTACCTCCATTTCTTCCCCATCCATTTGCCAGGAAGTGATAGGACCGGATGCCATGATCTTAGTTTTCTTAATGTTGAGTTTCAAGCCAACTTTTGTGCTCTCCTCTTTCACCCACATCAAGAGGCTCTGTCATGAGAGTGGTATCATCTGCATATCTGAGGTTGTTGATATTTCTCCCAGCAATCTTAATTCCAACTGGTGATTCATCTAGCCCGCCTTTCTCATGATGTGCTCTGCATATAAGTTACATAGGCAGGGCGACAGTATACAGCCTTACCAAACTTTTTTCTCAGTTTTGAACCAATCAGTGGTTCTGTGTCCAGTTCTCACTGTTGCTTCTTGACCTGCATATAGGTTTCTCAAGAGACAAATAAGATGGTCTGGTACTCCCATCTCTTTAAAAACTTGCCACAATTTGTTATGATCCACACAATCAAAGGCTTTAGCATAGTCAATGAAGCAGAAGTAGATGTTTTTCTGGAATTCCCTAGCTTTCTCCATGATCCAGCGTATGTTGGCAATTTGATCTCTGGTTCCTCTCCCTCTTCGAAATCCTGCCTGTACTTCTGGTAGTTCTCAGTCCACATACTGCTGGAGCCTAGCTTGTAGGATTTGGAGCATCACTTTGCTAGCATGTGAAATGAGTGCAATGGTGTGGTAGTTTGAACATCCTTTGACATTGCCCATCTTTGGGATGGGAATGTAAACTGACCTTTTCCAATCCTATGGCCACTGTTGAGTTTTCCAAATTTGCTGGCATAGTGAGTGTAGCACTTTTACTGCATCGTCTTTTAGGATTTTGAATAGCTCAGCTGGAATACTGTCACCTCCACTAGCTTTGTTGTTGCTCAGACTTCCTAAGGCCCATTTGACTTCACATTCCAGGATGTCTGGCTCGAGGTCAGTGACCACCCCATCATGGTTATCAGGGACATTAAGCTCTTTCTTGTATAGTTTCTCTGTGTAATCTTGCCACCTCTTCTTAATCTCTTCTGCCTCTGTTAGGTCCCCACCATTTTGGTCCTTTATCATGCCCATCTTTGCATGAAACGTTCCCTTCATATCTCCAATTTTCTTGAAGAGATCTCTGGTCCTCCCTATACTATTGTTTTCTTCTATTTCTTTGCACTGTTCATTTAAGAAGGCATTCTTATCTCTTCTAGCTGTTCTCTGGAACGCTGCATTCAATTGGGTGTATCTTTCTCTTTCTCCCTTGCCTTTCGCTTCCCTTCTTTCCTCAAGCTATTTGTAAAGCCTCCTCTGACAGCCATTTTGCTTTCTAGCATTTCTTTTTCTTTGGGATGGTTTTAGTTGCTACCTCATGCACAATGTTGCGAACCTCCGTCCATATTTCTTCAGGCACTCTCTCTATCAGATCTAATTCCTGAAATCTATTTGTCACCTCTAATGTATATTCATCAGGGATATGATTTAGGTCATACCTGAGTGGCCTAGTGCTTTTCCCTACTTTCTTCAACTTAAGCCTAAATTTTGCAACGAGAAGCTCATGATCTGAGCCACAGTCGGCTCCCAGTCTAGTTTTTACTGACTGTATAGAGCTTCTCCATCTTTGGCTGCAGAGCACATAGTCAATCTGATTTCTGTGTTGACCGTGTGGTGATGTCCATGTGTACAGTCGTCTCTTAGGTTGTTGGAAAAGAGTGTTTGCTATGACCAGCTGTTCTCTTGACTAAATTCTACCAGCCTGTGCCCTGCTTCATTTTGTACTCCAAGGCCAAACTTGCCTGTTACTCCAGTTATCTTTTGGCTTCCTACTTTAGCATTCCAATCCCCCATGATGATAAGGACATCATTTTTGGGTGTTAATTCTAGAAGGTGTTGTAGGCCTTCATAGAACTGATCAACCAGCCTCTTCAGCACCAGTGGTTGGGGCATAGACTTGGACTATTGTGATGTTGAATGGTTTGCCTTGGATTCGAACTGAGATCATTCTGTCATTTTGGAGATTGTATCCCAGTACTGCTTTTCCTACTCTTTTATTGACTATGAAGGCTACTCCATTCCTTCTGAGGGATTCTTGCCCGCAGTAGTATACCTGATGGTCATCTGAATTAAATTCACCCATTCCTGCCCATTTTAGTTCACTGATTCCTAAGATGTCGATGCTCAGTCTTGTCATCTCTTGTTTGACCATATCCAGCTTGCCTTGATTCATGGATCTTACATTCCAGGTTCCTATGGAGTATAGATCTTTGCAGCATCGAACTTTCCTTTCACCACCAGATACATCTGCAACTGAGTGTCCTTTCGGCTTTGACCCAGTCGCTTCATCCTTTCTGGCGTACTAGTATTAGCCCTCTGCTCTTCCCCAGTAGCATATTGGACACCTTCCGACCTGAGGGGCTCATCTTCCGGCGTCATATCTTTTTGCCTTTTGGCACTGTCCATGGGGTTTTCATGGCAAAGATACTGGAGCGGGTTGCCATTTCCTTCTCCAGTGGATCACCGTTTTGTCAGAGCTCTCTGCTATGACCTGTCCGTCTTAGGTGGCCCTGTATGGCATAGCTCATAGCTTCATTGAGCTACACAAGCCCCTTCGCCACAACAAGGCAGTGATCCATGAAGGAAAGATATAAATGCAACTTAATGATAGTAACCATAACGAGCACATACAACCTGCATACCTGAAAGCCTGGCAACCACCTATGTAAGTAATATTTACTCAGTGCATACCTAGGAAGCCAAAATGATTATAGTGAAACACATAACCCTGGATGGAGACAGGAGAGGATTTCCTTTCAATACGATTCATCCAGAAACAAAAACCGCCCAAACTTGCCCGATGAATGATTGTAAACACAGCAGCAACTTTACAGCACACCTGTCAAACAGTGATGCTTCTGCCTGACCCGTCTAATCACAGCTGTGTTCATTGCCACAAGAAGAACAACTGTTATTTAGGATGCTGCACCTATTGTTCCCTCAACACAAGGCAACTTAGGCAACCATTCTTCTGATACATATAGAGAGGCGGTGTGGTGTAGAGGTTAAGAGCGTGTGCCTGGGACTCAAGCGGTCTGGGTTCAAGTCCCCACTCAGACGTGGAGCCAACTGGGTGGCTTTGGGCCAGGCACAGACTCCCAGCCCAACCTACTTCACAGGGTTGTTGTGGGGATAAGATGGAGAGCAAGAGGAGGGAAAATGATGTAAGCTGCTTTGAGTTTTTTAAAAGAGAAAAGGCCAGGATATAAATATAATTAATGTATTAATTGGTTAAAATACATGTACTGGAATATAATTTCCCATTAAAAACAACAAAATTAACAATTAACAAATTAAAATTGAACAAGGGGGAATCTTAAAGCCAGTGGTCCCACTGGGTTTGCGCTTTCCCTACAAGGGAATTCTTGAGATACTGTGAATACCGCCTGTGCATGAGACACAAAAAATGGCTCCCATGAAAGAAAGTGACTTACAGATTTATTTATTTATTATTTATATCCTGTCTTTTTCCTACAAAGGGCTCAAGGCAGCTTACATCTCCTCCATCTCCTCCTCCAGCTCTCAGTGAAACCAACAGGACTTTGAGGTGGTCACAAGCAACGGAAGTCTCCCTGACTGCATGGGGCTTGAGCACTAGGAAGCTGTCCTGGACTGGATTCCTGGAATGCCTGGAAACAGGGGCACAGAGTTGACACAGTGTGTGGACTTCTCACCTCCAGGCACTTCACTATACAAAACAAATCCACAATACTGAATTTGGTTTGGAATATGAAATGGACCATGACATATTGTTTCTCAGATGTTGGCCACAGGCTCCCAAGTCTGTACTTTGAATCAAAAGTAGCCCTTTTTTCTTATATTTAGGCTATAAATTTAGGAATCAGAAAAAGAACAGTTGGGTTTAATATGTTTCAGCTGGACACCTCTTTCTGCCTTTTTTTATTTCCCCAGAGTGCTTGGTTGTCAGCATTTTTAAGTGGACAGTAACATACAACACTGGTACAAGGAAATAGTAAATGCTATGTCTATTCTCCACTTGCAGTCAAAGAAGGAACCCAGTGCCCCAAGGCATTCTCAACTGACAGAATTGGCTAGCACTTTGCTGCAAGAAGATGAATTTGCAACCAGCACAAATCACTGCATACCAATGGGGCAGGGAAGCAAAGCAAATCTCGAGCTGCAGTATGAATATAAATATCCTATGGGCAATCCAGAAGTCATAATAGCTAGAATAAACATAGGCGTATCATCTCAAAAAGCTAAGACTAACGATGGCTTCGCATTTCCCTCTCATCGCCTCTATCTAACATAGTCTAACACCGCTTCCCTCTTTTGTTAAGGCAGTTTAATTTTCCTCATCCTTTCCCACTGCTGTTCTGGCAGTCAGTCAATGGATTCCTTGGGTGGTGTGCGTTAACATGCTGTGCAGCATACTTACTCAAGGCTCTTGCTGTTGCTGCCATTCACAGAGCCAGCCTGTTGCTCCTCTTGGCTTAGAATCTGGATCCCTAAGGACTTGACAGCTCGCATCAGAATAGCTTCCATCGCCTCAACTGAGAGCTTCTCAAGAACAATAACGCGGCAGCGACTCAGGAGAGCAGAATTGACTTGGAAAGAAGGATTTTCTGTGGTTGCACCGATCAAAGTGACAGTTCCACACTCAACGTGAGGCAGGAACGTATCCTGAACATGGGAGGAAAACAGAAGAAACTGGTCCCGGTCAATGACAACTTCAGGCACCTTGCGTGAGTACATATTTTAAACCCAGAATTGCGTTTTTGTGCCTTTTTTTGTGGAGGGGGATTAGGGGGTGCCTGGTGAACATTTTACTGACTACCCATCCTGTTTAGCTGCATAGCAACTGAAGATCCTTCACTCTATCCATCACCAATACTGAGCTGGACAGTAAAAAGGACCATGTACTCTGAAGGTGAAGTTTGCTTTTGTAATGTGTGTCTCACTGTTTGGGCCGGTACAAAGGAGACTTCAACTATTGTTATAAGATTACATCCTTGGCATCTCCCTTGCTCCCCAGAAAGAGTACTTAGAGAGATTGTGAAGTACAACATAAAACTCTTACATACTCTTTCAAAAACATTTTTCACTCTGAATGCTACTTTATGAATTTTTGGAATGCTTAAGTAAATCCTTCCTTCATAGCAATCCTTCATTCCATGCACACTTTAAAACATTCAGTGCCTACTCATACCCAAATTTCTCACATGCCCTTTCAGTTGCAGAAGTGGAACTGTAAAGGAGAAAATGTAAGTAAATTCATGGAAGAATTGAGGAACAATATCTCTAAAGGGATTGCCAGGTCCATCCTGCCCCCATACTTCAGAAATATGCTTCCACTGTTTGCTAGTGGGATAGGAAGGTATTTTAAAATATTCGAGTGCTTGCCAAATTCTTGATCCAATGACTATGGCTTAAACTTGACCACAATGTTCTTATTACTGCAAATCTCAATTCAGGAAGCAAACCAAGATCAGGTTTGCATTTTATGCAGTCTAGAAGTTCTAGGGACAATACTTTACCTACTTTCCTTGGAGAATCCCCACATTGAAATGAATGGAACAGTTATGTGTGTGTGTGTGTGTGTGTGTGTGTGTGTGTGCGCGCACTCTTAGCTTCTATTTTAAAAACCAAATGCATATAAACATACAATATGCCAGTGTGGTTATACTAGATCAAGCGTAGGACTTGGATGGGGGAAACTGGAGGATAAATCCCTGCTTATCTGGGCACTTTGTGCCCATTACTTTCTTTTGGCCTCATCTGTCTCCGGAGGTTGAGAGGGTAATAAGGGATAATATCCCTCTCCCCATGCACTGGAAACTCTTTAGAGAAAAAGCAGGACTAGGCTGGAACAGACAAATCCTTGATAATAGCTGCTTCAGAGCAACAGTGGGCCAAACACACAAGACAAAAGCCAATCTCTTCCAAGGGGAAGGCTTCAGGGCAGATGCAGAACAATCCATACCTGCTGAGACTTGTTGAAACGATGAATCTCATCAATGAAAAGGATGGTTTTCCTCTTGAAGAGCCTCTTCTCATTTTGGGCTTGGGCAATGACATCTCGGACATCATTGGTTTTGGCACTTGTTGCCGACAATGTCACAAAGCGGGTGCCATTCTTTTTACTGCTGTTTGCTATTATGTGCGCCAAAGTGGTCTGAAACAAAGAAATGCAGCTAGCAGGTTGATTCTGCTTTACTTGGTCAAAAGATGTAGAAGCGTGGAAAAATCATTTCAGGATATTAACAAGGGAACAGTTGTGTATTTGCACTGCAGAAAGGAGAACGTCTTCCCCTTTTCAATTTTAGTCTTACTTAAAATGGAACCCCCCCCCCCCCCCCCTTGCCATTTGTTTAAAATGAACTATCTTCCTGGGAAGGGTGGGAGGAAAAAACCTTCAGTCCCCTGGCTGGGATTCCAAGAGCTATTTTAGCCCCTGGGCATGCTCAGTGGGAGTTTGGAGGGTTTCCCTTTGGGCAGCAGACCCTCCCGGCATCCCACACACTGATTTTGAAAGTTCCCTCTGTCCCAAAAACAGTCTGTCCTGTGGTTTGAGAAGCTTAAGCCCAAAGCCCTCATTTGAAGGGCTGTTGAAGTAATGTACACAAATGTACTATAAAAGTATTAAAATGTACTGATACTATGTTTAGTACAGATTAATTCTATACATACGGTAATGTGCATTGCCTAAGGTGACTTCCTGGTTTACAAATGAAAGAAGTAAACATTATTGCCTGCCAGTCAAACTGTTCATTCATCCTAAGCTGTGAGGTGACTTGAATACTTCAGGAACATGTTTTGTATTGTAATCACTTTCTACTGTAATTTAGCCTACCAACTTTTACAATATTCTCACAAAGTGTCTGGTCTAAACCACCCCCAAATTTCAGCCCTCTACTCTTTATTTATTTACTTAAATAAGAGCAAATGACTAGGTGACAAAGTTGCCCTGAAAATTCCATAGGAATGGTGAGACCAGGATGATTTTGCAATTCCAAATAAAAGGCTCTGAAAAAAAAGACACAAACCAAGATTCAGTTCAGATTATCTTGGTCTCCTTTTAAAGCTAGGATTCTAAGGTAAAACCTCCAGCAGACAGAATGAAAATGCACTGCAGGAAAGCCATGCTAAGATTTTTGAAGATCAGTATGCCAAAGCCATTGTTACGCAAAAAAGTTGTTTTTTTTTTGTTCTCGGCTTTATTTATGGGTGAATTTTGTTCTTCCTTGCAGCAGGTCCATAGAATTTGTGGCTTGCCAAGAAAAATGTAGCTACCAGCTTGGCAGTGGCAGCTACCAGGTCGCTCGGTGATTCTCCTTATTTTGCCATTCCAAGGCAAGATACACATGTGCATGCACAAATGTGATTTAGTAGTCTCCTGGTGGAGCAAGCTAGATTTGCTGGGTCACATGTTATACATTGTCCTTTAGTGAGCTATCTAAACATCTTTAACAAATGGAAGAATGGATGTGGCTGGTCCTTTTGCAAGAAATGGAACCATTAAACTACAAGCCTCACAATTTTACAGAAGGAGGAAGAAAAGGCAGTCTCAGATAATTCCGATACTTAAGTCACTCCCTCAAATTCAGCAGTGCTTGGCTTTCAAAATGGCACATGCTCCATATTAATAAAGGTGTGCTTCAAATCAGTGTTGGCACACATGGTAACATCATACTTTAAAAGTGAACTGCCCGGGCTTTTCAGAAGATCATGAAGGGTAGAAGGGATAATGACAAAAATGGCAGAGCGACAGGCAAGGAGACAAGAGGCAGTGCCCACACTTGGGCAAAGGATCAAAACTCAGTGGCAGAGCATATGATTTCCATGTAGACGGTTCATGGTCATCAGGAAGGAGGAAAGATCTCTGCCTGAAACAATGAAACACCATGGTCAGATGCTACAGAATTCCTGCTGAAACATGGGTTATTGGGTTGTATGGAACTAGACATGTTAACAAGCCATGGTTTCTTAACAATGAATAACCCACAAAGAGAATCAATGGTTTATCATCATGGTTTGTTAGTGCTGCTAGTTCACATAACACAGTAACACAAGCTTCAACTATAAACCATGGTTCAGCAACAAGCTGCACTGAACTGATATTCAATCTTGAGAGTGTGTTATTATACTGCGTAATCCCAGTCAGTGTTGAACTAGGTGGAACAATTTGTATTGTTAAACCATTCCGAGACTTTGGTAATGGGACGATCTAAAAAAGTTTTAAAGAAACAAACAAACAAACAAACAATGGTCTAAGCTTAACATAAGGAAGCTTCCTATATTCCACAGTCACTAACCAGATCGCAAGCATGCCTCCAAGCCAGGTGAGACAACAGATCACATCTATAAATGTCACACTGAAACTGAACTGGAAGTGAAGTAAACAAAAAACAAAAAAACTTCTAGGTAATGTGGGGAGGCAACAGGCAAAACACTGACATGCCATGATTTAGGCCAGCCTTCTCCATTGTGGTATCCTCCAAATAAGTTGAAATGCAGAGAGCCAGTGTGGTATAGTGGTTAAGAACATGGGACTGGGGCTCAGACGACCTGGGTTCTAGTCCTCGCTCAGCCATGGAGCCAACTGGATGACTTTGGGCCAGTCACAGACTCTAAGCCCAACCTACCTCACAGGGTTGTTGTTGTGGGGATGAGATGGAGGAGGATGTAAGCTGCCTTGAGCCCTTTGTAGGCAAAAGGTAGGATATAAACTGAAAAAATAAATAAATAAATTTCAGCCACTGCCTGCCCATGATGGGATGTATAGGCAACACATTTGGAGAATGCGAGGTCAGGGAACACTGATTCAAGAGAAAGTGAGCAAATGGTTGTAATTACCAAGAGGAACATCCCATTGTAGAAGCACCAGAATTACTATGTCCAGCCACCAGCCAAACATTTTCTCACCTATTCTGGAGCCTGCTGTCAGATAAGCAATTAAAAAAAAAAGACTACTGTCATACCACTGTTGGCATCCCAATGTGGAGACAGCCCATGTGATCCAAGCTGAACAAAGCAGAGGTATCAGGGAGCAGACCAGAATAATGTGGACACACATCCTAACTCAGCAATGGGCTCAACTAAGTGGCCTTAGTCATCAAGCTGCATTTTCTCAGGCTTACACTCTCCCACAGAACAGGTTACAAAATATATAAGGGTCGCAAAGCTTTCATCAGTGGATAACAGTAATCAGCTAATGCAAATTTAATGATGCTTCACAATTAATAGGTACAATCGAGAAGAAGAACACACTGCTCTGCTCTATAAATTCAGCATCCTTTTCCCTTGTGAAAAATCAGATTTTGTTTTTTTAAAAAACATGCCCCTTAGATGTAGATGTAAGTGTGCCCCTTTCAATTTGGTTGTGTTTCCTCCTGTGTTGGGTGACATACGCAATTAATCCCTTAACTAAACACTGCCACACTGCCTCTGACTTTTCAGATCTGGCTGCACATTTTTGTGAGATGAAATTGTTTCTGGAGTGTCTGTCAGTAAGTGCAAGGAGTGCTTTTTTAAAACACGTGGTCCCATTAAGAACTGGGTTCCCCACAACTTTATCCTTCAGTAGCTGCACTGGCCTAGAAGGATGAAGGCAAAAGATCCCAGCAGCTGGTGCCAGCAGGTGGTGGGAAGCTTAAACACTGATCAGAAAAATATTCCAGAGATCCGGATTACTGAAGCAGGTGCTCTGAACTTGATCCTCTTCAAGATAGGGATTCTGGGTTTTATTTCTTCAAGACTTGCACTGACAGCAGGATACTCCTATTTGCTTCTTCAATGGCAACTTGTTTTCTCTCTCCCCCCTCTGTTGGTCCTTCTCCAGACCCTTCTGGGCATCCTGGGGGAAGACTGGCCCAAAGGAGGAAAGTTTGACTGAAAAACCTAACCAGGGCACTAAGTCACCCTCATCCACACCTACAAAATAAAGGACAGCTCACACATATGGGCTCTTCACTTGTTGGCCAGAGGATTAAGTGGTAATTTGTATGTGTATCAGCAAGCCAGCACAGAGCAGGTCAATCACCATGGACAGAGCTTTCCCATTACCCCAGAGAGAGGGCCATTTCCAGATCCAGGAGAGGGGCATCCAGTGATGGGGCATCCAGTGCAGCACATGCATTGGGAACCAGCCACAGGTACCCAAGGAGAAAAGGAAAGGAAACAGCAGAAATGTTCTAGTGCAGGTTATGGCAGACTGTTTCTAGTTTTGCAGTGTGATGCTCAGGAGGCACAGTAGGTTGAACTTAGATTAATGAAAGGCTCTGACTCATTGGTCTAGTGTAGGAATAGGCAACTTGTTGACCTCTCTCTCTCTCTATTTATATATTCTTTATTTAGAATATTTATATGCCATCCTGTCACGAAGGCCTCAGGACGGCTTACATAAATAAAATAATATAAAACATAATACAAATGAAATTACAGATCCACCCTGGCTGCAGTTAAAAACATATATAAACCAATATTAAAAGTTATTAAAATATTGTTGGAATAAAAAGGTCTTAACCGGGCGCCGAAAAACAAATAACGACTGCGCCAGGCAGACCTCTCTGGGGAGCACATTCCATAGGCAGGGCACCACTACAGAGAAAACCTTCCTCCGGGTACTTTGCCTTCTAGTATCTTTCACAGAGGGTTCCCGGAGGAGGGCCTCTGCTTCCGATCTCAGGGGGCGGGAGGGCAAATATGGAAAAAGGCGTTCCTTTACGTATCCAGGTCCCAAGCCATTAAGGACTTTATAGGTGATAATCAGCACCTTGAATTGAGCCCGGACTTCAATGGGAAGCCAATGGAGCTGATAGAGGACTGGGGTTATACGATAATAATGCCCAGTCCCCATCAGCAACCTGGCTGCTCTATTTTGCACCATCTGAAGTATCCAGACTGTCTTAAAGGGCAGCCCCACGTAGCACACGTTACAGAAATCCAACCAGGAAGTAACCAATGCATGTGTCACTGTCGCTAGGCAATCGTCCTCCAGGTAGGGACGCAGCTGATGGATTAACCGAAGCTGAAGGAAAGCGTTCCTCGCCACCACGGTCATCTGAGCTTCCAGGGACAGCTCAGGGTCAAGGAGCACTCCCAAGCTGCGGACCCTGTCCTTTAGAGGGAGTGCAACCCCATTCAGGACAAGGCCCAAGTCACCTACCCAGGAGC